CTCTGTCTTACCACATCATTGGCTAGTGCTCACTTTTCTGGACTGAGTGAGTTTACAGAGCAGACAAGGGTCTTCTGTTGTGGGCAGCCTGCAGACACATGATAGTCTGTGAGTGAAGTGTGCTCTGTACCCTGCAGAACCCAGGAGGGTCGGTTCAATTAAGCAACTGCACAGTGTTCCACTCTCAAGTTGCTTTTTCTCTTGATTCAGTATCCACTCATTTTAAATCTGCCTGTTTTCTATAGTTCTCTTTGTTTCAATGCTTTTTCCTTATTTTTTCCACATTCTGCTAAGACTGGGGGCTTTGAGCTACCTCCCACATCTTGCTGTTTAGAAAAGTGCTTCAAGTTAGGGATTTATACACATTGAAAATGTATTTATGTATAATAACTTGAACACAATGGAATGCACAGCTCTAGGGCAGGGCTTGGCACTTAGTTGTAGAGGGAGCAAGTGAGGGCCTAGGGTGCCCAACCTGCAGGATCTGATCCGAGTTCGAGCTCCTTCGCCACCTAAGGAACCCATCTCAAGTCTCCTTGACATGAGTCTTGACAATGTGACAGCTGTATACCCTTTTTATGATCACCATCTCAAACAAGCTTGACCGTTGTCACATGGGGTACATTCTAAGGGAGTTTCACCTTTGGTTTTTTTTTTAGGTCTTGGTTTCTAGGGCTCTCTCTATATTCTGAATGTGAATCATTTGTAGAACTATGTACTACACAGACCTTTCTCCTGATCTGTGACTATGCAGTCTGTGTCTCTGTTTCTCTCTCTCTCTCTTTCTCTTCCTCTGTGTTGGATAGCTTTAGTGTCAATTTGACACACCTGGGTTGAGGGAGCCTCAACTGGGGAATTGCCTCCATTGGACTGGCTTGTGGCAATGTCTCTTGGGCATCTTCTAGATTATTGAGTGATTTGGGCGGGTCCAGCCCACTGTGGGTGGTGTCATCCCTAGGCAGGTGGGTCTATGCTGTATAAGAAAGCAGATTGAGCTGGGCATGGTGGCGCACGCCTTTAATCCCAGCACTCGGGAGGCAGAGGCAGGCAGATCTCTGTGAGTTTGAGGCCAGCCTGGTCTACAAAGCGAGTTCCAGGACAGCTGGGGCTACAGGAAAACCCTGTCTCAAAAAGACTGAAAAAAAAAAAGAAAGAAAGCAGGCTGAGCAGGGGCCAGGGGAGCAAGTCAGTGAGCAGCTTTCCTCCATGGCCTGTGCTCCAGCTCCTGCATCCAGGTTCCTGCCCTGAGTTCCTACCTTGGGCTCCCTGATGAACTGCGACCTGGGAGCTGTAAGTCAGAGTATTTTGTCACAGCCATGAAGAAACAAACTAGAACACCCTCTCTTGAGACAGGGTGTTACTATGTAACCCTGGCTAGCCAAGAACTTGCCATGTAGACCTTGTGGGCCTTAAACTTGTGATGATCCTTCTGCCTCAGCCTCGAAGTGCTGGAATTACAGGCATGCCCACCACATCTCGCCCCCTCCTCCCTCCCTTCCGCCCTCCCTTTCTTCCTTCTTTTCTTTCTCTTTCTTTTTTTGTTGATTTTTTTGTTTTTGACAGGGTCTCCCTAGTCCCAGCCCACCTGGAAGTCACGATGTGGACCAGGCTGGCCTCGATCTCACAGAGATCCACCTGCCTCTGCCTCCCTGTTCACTTTCTTAATGGCGTCTCTTGTGAATAGAATTAAAAAACAAAATCTGGCTGAGTGTGGTGGCATACACCTTTGATCCCAGCACTCAGGAGGCAGAGGCAGGTGGATCTCTGTGAGTTCAAGGCCAGCCTGGTCTACATAGTGAGTTCCAGGACAGCTGGGGCTACAGGGAGACCCTGTCTCAAAAAGACAAAAAAAAAAAACAAACAAACAAAACAAACAAAAAAGAAAACAAAATCTGGTGAAGTTACATCTGTTAATGTTTTCGTTTGTGGTTAGAGCTTTCTGTGTCCTGTCCAAATCTTTTCCTCTGTGAGACTGTAAGGTTAGTCCCACCGTGTCATTCTAGGTTTTATGATTAGGCTCGTGATCTATTTTCAATTAATTTTTTTGTGTATAGAGTGAGAGAAGAGTTAACTTTCTTTTTTTTCTGTGTCATTTAGGCTTTTAATAAATCTTTCATATGTGTGTATGATGTGTGTGTGTATGTGTGTGAGGGTTTTGTCTCTGCCTCCCACCTCTCCTTAGGAGTGCTGGGGTCACAGATGCTCACTGCTGTGCCCAGCTTTTATGTGGATTCTGGGGACCACAACTCCAGTCTTCACACTGTGCAGCAAATGCTTTAATCACTGAGCCATTTTCCCAGCCATCCCCCATCACCATTCCTTAGAAAGACTTCTTTCCACACCAAACTGTTTTAATGCTTGGTCTGTTTCTAATTTCTTCACAGTCAATCTTGTTTTGTTGTGGTTTCTGTCTGTCTTTATGCCTGTGACATACTGTACTGATTACTGTAGCTTTATAGTTTATATATGGGATAATTTTGATGTCTTGGGAACATTTGACTATGTTGGATACACCTTTGGTAGTCACAAATGAGGTTGGAGTCATCTCTCATGGGTGGAGGCCACAAACACTTCTTTTGTACAAGACAACCCAACAGCAAAAAATTCTTCATTCTCAAATCCAGTAATGTTGGGTTGAGAAGCCCTGCGTTATCAGTAAGTGTCATGGGAATATGATGTTAGGAATTGAACCTGGAACCTTTTGCATGCAAAGTAAGTGCTGTGCCACTGAGATAAGTAAGATCAGTAAGTTTTGAAGTTAGCTAATGCAAGCTTTTGATTTCCTCCTTCAAAAATTTTTTATTGGCCAGGTGTAGTGGTTAACACCTTTATTTCCACGCTTGGGAGGCAGGGGCAGGCAGATCTGTGAGACCGAGACCAGGCAGGTCTACATAGTGAATTCTAGGCCAGTTAGGGCTACAGGGAGACTCTGTCTCAAAAAGACCTCCCCCAATTTTTTTTATCATATTATTAGTGTGTGTGTGTGTGTGTGTGTGTGTGTGTGTGTGTGTGTGTGCACATGCCATAGTGCATATGTAGAAGTCAGAGAACACCTTTGTGGAGTGTGCTTTCCACCTTTATACAGGTTCTGAGACTTGAACTCAGGTTACCAGACTTGTACAGCAAGTGCCTTTACCCACTGAGCCATCTTGCAGCTCAGTTCCCCACTTTTTAAAGGCTGTTTTGGTGTTTTGGTTTATCTGACTCTTTTTATTATGTATGAATTTTAGAATTTATCATTTTCTGTAGAAGAATTGCCTCTGATTTTGATAGGAATTGCTTGAAAGTATGGAGGTGTACTGCCCAATATTAGTTTTAATTTATACTTTAATCCCAGAATGATTAAAATTGTATAACTAAATAAATTAAATGGGATGAAATGAGTTCTTGGCCCAGTAAGGTGGTACACGCTTTTAATCCTAGCACTTGAGGGGCAGACACAGGAGGATCTCTTTGAATTTGAGGTTAGACAGATCTACATAGCGAGTTCCAGGCCTGTGCTAGATGGTGAGACCCTGTCTCAAAAACCAAAACCAAAACTAAAAAAAAAAAGTGAGTTCCTCAGCTGCACTAGCCATACAGAGTGTGTGAGGTAGTCGCCTGTGACCAGTGGCTCTGCTCAGAACAGCCCCTGGCAGAGAGCATTGTGTCACTGCAGGTAGGCAGGCAGCAGTGGAGTAGGACAGTGTGCTAAGAGTGTGTCTTGCCAGTATTTATTCTTTGATCCATGAGTGTAGAAATCTTTTAGTAAATTTTTTGATCAGATTGTCAAAATTCAGTCACTGCCTTCATTTAATGCTGTTTCTTTTAAACCTTGAATAGATAATGACTTCTGTTTTATCTACATCTGAATCATCTTAGAAAAGCTTTTCTCCTTTGTTCAATAATCCTGTTGTGTGTGTGTGTGTGTGTGTGTTATATGTGCACATGTACTCACATGTGGGTACGTGTGCATGTATGTGCACCTGTGTGTGGAGGCTAGAGGTCAGTGTTAGGTGTTCTCCTGATAGCTCTCCACCTTATTTTTTAACACAGGGTCTCTCTCTCTCTCTCTCTCTCTCTCTCTCTCTCTCTCTCTCATTTTTTTTTCTACAGTCTGTCTCTCTCGCTCTCTCTCTCTCTCTCTCTCTCTCTCTCTCTCTCTCTCTCTCTCTCTCACCAGCCAGTGAGCCTTGGGGGTTTTCCTGTCTCTGCCTCTCCCTTCGAGCACTGGGATTCTGTAAAGATGTGTGTCAAGCCCCAGCTCTGACTGTGTTATCCTTTGCATGTTTAAATGCCAACTTTGAATTCTTTTGATTAAACCCCACTTGGCCATGGTTTATTACTACGTTTATGTATTGCTGTTATTACCATGCTCATGTATTGATGAATTTGATAATCTGTTTAAAATTTGTGAGGGATTTCACTCTGTTGTTTCTTCTGGTGTCCTTACTTTGTCTCAGCACAGGGTCACGCTGGTCTCATGGCTAAGTCTGAAAATCCGTAGGTGGGGAGATGGACTTAGTTAGTACCAGCAGCCTGTTCTCTGCCACTGATGAGCCCATGCCCGTCAGTCCTCTGTGCTGTGGGAGGTGGCAGCTTCCCTGCTTGGCAGGTGAAGAGACTTGGGCTGGAAAGGCAACTTCTCAAGGCCAACAGCTCAAGTGCTGCATAGGGCAAGCCCAGTTCCTGCTCTGGACTCTGCAAGACCATTCCTGAGTGGCAGCACCCATGAAGGTTCCCTTGGGACACACCAGGCTGGGCTTCAGCTCGATGCCCTTCAGGCTACGGGGAAGAGCTGAGCCAGCTACCCAAGCTGTGTTCCCAGCAGGCACCTGTGGTAGGTTCTTCCTGGGCTGTCACTGGAGCCAGGCACAGCCTGTATCTTGTTGGCACATGTGTGTTCTGATTACCATCAGAGGAGCCCGAGTAGCCTCTGCTCAAACCAGCCCTGGGGGATTGATGAGTATGTATTCCCATTGTGGATGGATCTGGGAATTGTCTAATCTCTCTCTTTGTAGGATGCTTGGATATTAATTCATCTGTGAAGGGGGCTCGCTTTGTCAGATTCTGTGACGCATTCAATATTCCACTCATTACTTTTGTTGATGTTCCTGGATTCCTGCCTGGTAAGTCTCTGACGCAGGTGGGTGGGAGAGGTGGCTGTGCTCAGTATATGTGGAGATCTTGCACAGTCCCCTACGGATCTGTGACTTCCCCTCTCCTGGTGTCCAGAGGACAGGGCCTTATGAGGACCAGCCCTCTGGAGGTTCAAGAAGACTCAATCACAGCCAGGGACCTTGTCAGGGCTTTGATGATAGCTGGGAATTCTTCCTCGTGACCTAGGCACGGCACAGGAATATGGAGGCATCATCCGGCATGGCGCCAAGCTGCTCTACGCATTTGCTGAGGCAACGGTGCCCAAAATCACAGTCATCACCAGGAAGGTAAGGCCCTCACTCCAGAGCCTGTCCCTGAGCCCAGCAGTGTGGCCGTGTGGTCTGGCCAACAGTGTGGCCTAGGCTGGGAGGAGGCATGCCTTTTGCTCAAGCCTGTGAGATTTCTAGAGGGCTCTTCTGTTCACCTGATACAGGGGTGTCCATGGTATTTGAGCAGAGGGAAAAGCCAGGAACAGCAAATGGCATGAGCTGTGAAGGGCCTCCTAGACCTTGGCCTTGAGGAGCCAGTAGGGCTGTTCCTGTGGGTGGGCCCTATGTCACCTGGCTTCCTGGGGTCTTTTGCTGTATGATCTGCTTGTCTCCAGTTCTAACACTCAGCATTTGGGTCTGTTCTAGGCCTATGGAGGTGCCTACGATGTCATGAGCTCCAAGCACCTTCTTGGTGACACCAACTATGCCTGGCCCACTGCTGAGATCGCAGTCATGGGAGCAAAGGTAAGGATGTCTTGCTCTGTCCTGGATCCCAGGGCTCCCCGGTGGTGCCCATGGACAGCTGGGAAATGAGGCCAGACCTAGATTCAGCTGAAACCTTTCAAGTCCCTGTCCTGTGGTCTCAGGGTCCATCTACCCGTCCTGTCCTATGCTTGCTACAGGCACGGTGGTGTCTTCATGACATGGAAGGAATGTCTTTGGAAAGGGGCTCAGGGTGGGTTTAAAATTGTAAAGTGGGGGCTGGAGAAATGGCTCAGCGGAGTGCTCTCGCAGAAGACCCGGGTTTGAGTCGTAGCACCCACATGGCAGCTAACAACTGTCCATAACTCCAGTTCCAGGGGATCCTACAGCCTTTTCTGACCTCCGTGGGCATTACACGACATGGGTGGACTTACCTACATGCAGGCAATACACACATAAAATATTTTTTAAAAATTGTAAATTTTGTACAACTGTAAATTCAACAGCGAACATAAAATTTTATAGCCACTTTTGAAAGAGATGTATCTTTGCTCTGGAAACTGTTATTGAGTATGTTAAAGCTATAATGAAATGCTTCTTCTAAAAAAATAAAAAATATTTTTAAAAAAATTAAATAAAAAATTGTGAAGTGGGGGCTGGAGAGATGCTCGGCAATTAAGAGCACTGACTTCTTGTGCAGAGGACCTGGGCTTGATTTCCAGTGCCCACATGGAGGCTAACAGCTGTCCATAACTCCACATCCAGGGGATCTGATGTTCTCTTCTGACCTCTGTGAGCACTGCACGACATGCATGCCAGCAATACACTCATACACATAAAAAACATTGTAAGTAGGAGAAAGGGGGAGCAGTCAGCAGAACTCACCTTTGGGAGGTAGAACCCTCTCCCACCCCACCTCAGCTCTCAGGGAGAGCCCAGAGCCACCCTTCAGAGTGTTGGAAGCTTAACTATGCTTTCATCCTTGATGGCCATGGGAAGATACTTCCTGTTGTATGGCTGTCCTTCACTTTCACTAGCTGTGTGTGAAAGAGCTGTCAGGGTCGAGCCAGATAACCCTGGGGTTCCAGAGATCACTGACAAGTGTTACAACTTGAACGCCATGCTGTCCACATTTACAGTTCAGCCTGTGTTCCTCAGGGCACTGGACTGTGCGCCCAGGGCTTGGGGCAGTGGAATAATACAGCACCTTCAATTTCCTTTGGCATGGGTGATAGCAGTACAAAACAAGTCAAATATCTTGGCTTCAAAGAAAGACGAGGAGCAGAGGGTGGTAGGATGGAACTGGGACCACAGCCTAGTGTTCAGTCCCCAGCCCCCAGAGCATGACGGGTGACCCCAGGGCAGTGCCTGTCTCTTTGTTGTGGCCTCTGGAGCTGACAGTGTCCTCCAGGACTCTGGCTGTGAAGTTCACAGCCACACAGAGTGACAATGAGCTGGTCTGTCTGGTTGGGGCTCTGCTCCAGTAAAGCTATGAATGCCTCTCTGACAGGGTGCTGTGGAGATCATCTTCAAAGGGCACCGGGACGTGGAAGCCGCCCAGGCAGAGTATGTGGAGAAGTTCGCCAACCCATTCCCTGCAGCAGTGAGAGGTGGGCTTGGTGGGGAGCATGGTGGTGTTCAACTGTTCAGTCATTTGCTTGTTCCTTCTCTCCAAGAAGTCTCTTATAATCGCCTTTGGCCTTTGCAGTTTTGTTGACTGGGGAGGTTTGGACTGCCCCAGGCAGTGGTTAGGCCTGGCCAGTGGGGCCTGTGCAGGCTGCTGATGCAGTCATCTGTGTCCAGTCATCCAGTGCTCTGCACCATCCCTCCCTAAACTCAGTGGATTTTACCCCTCACTTACAGTTCTGGGCTGAGCTGGGTGATTCTTTGGGTTTTGCTGGGGTAATTCATGTAGCTGTAGTCAGCTGGTCACTTGACAGTCCAAGATGAACTCCGATTTGGTGGTTGTGCTGCCTAGGCTCTCCCCACGCAGTCTGTCAGCTTTCAGGCCAGTCCAGGCTTCTCTTCATGGCGTCCCAAGGTAGCTAAAGGGGACGGAAGCCCTGAGGCCTAGGTTGAAAGTGTTCTCTTAGTCGTAGCATATTGATTAAAACAGTAAGAGCAGGGGAGGAGGCAAAATCTTACTGCTGAGGAACTGTAGCCATCTTAAAATACATATATATTTTCTTAATTTTATTTCCTGTTGAGCCCCTACTGGCAAGGTAGAGGCTTTGAGAAGTGGAAAGGGGACCGCCTACATTGCTTTTCTGGCCCAGTGCTCCTTTGCTGGAAGTTGGGAACTAGAACAGGCAGACCTTGGGATACAGGGTGGGTTGTGGACCTGTCCCCTTCTACCAGGACAGGCTCTGTCCATGCTGTTGGCCAGTGAGATGGTGCCTGGGCGGAGTGCATGGCTGGGGTCAGAGTGGCTTCGGCCTAGCCTCCAGTGGTCTCCTTTGTTTTGCTTCACCAGGATTTGTGGATGACATTATCCAGCCCTCCTATACTCGTGCTCGGATCTGCTGTGACTTGGATGTCTTGGCCAGCAAGAAGGTTCACCGGCCCTGGAGGAAACATGCAAATATCCCATTGTGAACAGATGGAAGGAAAACAGACCAGCCCAAGCTACTGGCTGTTTATAGCCCATCCCTGCCTTTCTCAATCATGAAAACCTGGGAATCTAACTACCAGTAATAACTTAGAAGGTTATTAAATCTTAGAAAAAGCTCTTGTGCCTTGCTATAAAATTATTTGCTCTATTAAAAATCTAAATTGATATTTTTTGAGTATATATTTCATTGTTATATAAAATAAAAAGAAAACCATGGGAAGGGGGAACAGAATTGTAATACTGTCATCTAAAGCAGACCCTGACTTGACACCCATGATTTGAATATGGTTTAAGAGTGGGCCCGAAGGCTAATGCAGCTTGGTTTTCTGTGTGGGACTCTTGGGAGGTGACAGTGGAAGGGCCGTAGGGCATCTGGGAAGAAGCTTTTGAAGGGCCGGGGGTCCTAGGCTTTCTCTAACTGCTGCTTTGGCTCTCGCCATGTGATAAAGCCAGGAGGGTCCTCACCAGAACTCACCCACTGTAGTACCTTATCCTTGAATTTCTAGAACTATGTGCTAAATAAACCCCTTTTCTTTATAAAGTTCAGCTCACTTTCAGTATTTTATTATAGTAATTAAAAAACAGACTAATACAACACCTCTGTGTTGTTTTTCTTTTTCCCCTCATAGAATTTTTTTTCCAAAATGATAATCTCAGATTTTATGCATGCAACCATAGGTAGTGTGGTCTTAGATATAGATGTGCCTGATAATTGGCTATTACAGTCAGCTTTAGGAGTCTATAAGATTCCAACTGGAGTTTATGGACCTTTGCCAGAAGGGACAGTAGGATTATTATTAATTTTTTTAAAATAAAAATAAATTTTTGAATTTAAAAACTATTTTGGATCTTACTCCTCCTCTGAGCTCTTCCCAAACTCTCCCCTCCTTTTGCTTTTTGTTTTGTTTTTTAATTTGTTTTTATTAAATTTTGTTGTATTTCATACAGACCATCTCCAACAATCTGAATCATCTTTATAGCCCTGTCCCCTCCTATAGCCCCCCCCCCCCACTGGAACCCATGTACTCTGTCTCGGGTGTTAAGGCCCCACAGTATCAAGTTGGTGTCCCCAGACCTTCCCCAGTGCAAGTCAGTCCACTTGAGGTCTAGTCAGATCCCTTTGATCTTATCTATCCAAACACCCATCATCTTTTCTCTTTCTTTCTTTCTTTCTTTCTTTCTTTCTTTCTTTCTTTCTTTCTTTCTTTCTTTCTTTCTTTCTCTTTCTTTCTTTCTTTCTTTCTCTCCTTTCTTTTGTTCTTTCTTTCTCCTTCCTTCCTTCCTTCCTTCCTTCCTTCCTTCCTTCCCTCCCTCCCTCCCTCCCTCCCTCCCTTCCTTCCTTCCTTATAGGGCATGCGCTCTCTCTGGGCGCACTCCCAGAATGGCACTCCGCCGCCGTGCGTCTCTAGTCTCTGGCGGGTCTGGCCACAGGCATCTCTGGCCGCGGTGGGAGGTGCCCTGCAGGCTTTCCCGGCGGCTCGGGTCCCGTGTCTCTGGAGCTTCTCTGCTGCAGAAGCGTTGTCCTGCCGAATCCTGTCCCTAATCCACCCATGTACTTTTCCTCAGGATGTGAGGTCCACTGGCCACTGAACCCCACAGGAGAAGTACAGAGACAGCGAAAGCTAGAATGTCCATAAGCCGGTCACGAGGAAGTGCTGCCCCCCGGAGAGATTGGGCTGCCAGGAGTGACACAAGACTGGCTTAGTCTGTGCTACAGCTTTATTCTCTGAGACCCAGCTCTCTGTGTCCCAATTCTCTGCAGCCCAATTCTCTGACTATTAAGGGAAGACTAAGGCATTTATACCATGGGGGTAGTGGTAAAAGCTTTGGCTGTTAGATGCTTTGTGAGGCATTCTATTTACATATGGAAGTGGGTTTCTGCCACACTGCTAGACTGTTGTCTGCCTGGAGAAATTACAGGAAGGCATGGTGCCTTTCAGAGCCAAAGGCCATGTTTATGTTATGGCATTTGTGGCGGACACTTCAAAAGGAGAGACAGGAAAGATGCCA